TAATAAGTGAAAATAAATAATGCGGACGCCTTTTAAATAAAATCAATCAAATGAACTACAAGTTCTACAGATGAATGACAACAATTATAAAACTTTAATCTTTTAATAACAAATAATTTAGCATCAAAAACGGATTCTAAAAATTATAATTCTAAATTACAACAAAAAAGAACAACAACAAAAACTATCTCAGGTTGCCACGCAACCTAAAGTGAAATATTAAAACAAATAAATCTGATGAAAATTAAAGGTGGCGCTTCGGTCAAATATACATACGCTAATGACTTAAAATCTTAAACAATTTCCATTCATATTATAAGACGCATTATTTATTTTACATTTATAATTGATTGTAGCAGTCATGGTACACATGGTCTATTTGTAGTCCAGATAAGCCATTCCTATTATTTCTCCTGCTTTTATAATTTAAAATGAAAAAGCTATAAATCTTGTTATCTATTTGAGCTAAAATTGTACAATTTCTCTTAACTATTTTACATTCATAACTCATAGTAGTTATGACCTGTGTAGTCTGTGTGCATTCATATTATTTCATGGCTATTTCCTGTTTCTATTAACTATAAGAGCTTATTTAACACTATGATATTCACTTTTACAATACATTCAATTTTACTATGCTTAGACACTATAAAAGAAGAGAAAATGCACTTAAAATCAAAAGTAATCATTTGCGTGATTGAGATTCAAAATAATAAAACAAGTTGAGTTTTTTACTTCTAATAAACGCTTCTTCATAATTGGTTTTATACGTTAAATATGAAATTATCTGCATATGTGAAAGGTAAAGAGCGTCTATTATCCAGTTCATTTTGAAAAAAGACTTAATATTGTCATAGTTTACCCTGAAGCTTTCAAATATTTTCGGAATATATCATCAACCACCGACGTTTTTCCTGCGATTTATTCTGAGCACAATATGAGAACTCTTTGTTTTAGAATGAAATTTTCTTAGTAGCTTTTGCATGACTGCATTAATCGAAATGTTTTTTTTTTCATTTTAAATTGCTGTGTTTGGATTATTCAATAATGCTTACCTTTTCCTTGCGTTAAGAGAAATTTATCTGAATGAAACGTTAAAAAAGCGCATATTGAATCTGATTACTTTTCGTTGTTTCGCAATATTGTCTTGTAAATCTCTTTTACATGCATAAAAAATTAACATCATTTTATGAAGAATTTCAATAGAATTATGTTGCCATAAGAATTTGTCATATTTCACCAAATATATTTTGAGTTCAAAGACTTTTTATTGCATCAATTGGAATCCTAGTTCAAAAAGTTTTTATTTTGATTGTATGGCCGGCGTTGAACAGTGAGCTTACAATTTTGTGCTTACGACAACCAATGTTCAATTGCGTAGCCTTGCAATTTTGAATCCAATCAAGAAGACATGGGAATTCCTGGATCACACATTGGGAGAAACCAGCTTTCGTGAAAGACTTTTTGATGGAACTCACCAACATTTGCGTTACTTGGAGAGGAAAACCTTGGAAACCTCTAAGGATTTGCGCGACAGCAAGGGGACTCTTCCCCCTCTACCACTGGGAATATTTTACATCAGCATAGTAGTCAGAGCGAGCTAGATGAAGAATTACTATTGACCAGATCGATCCGTTGGGGTTCGAACCTTGGCCACCTCATTTGGTCACAAGAGCTCTATCCCCTGTGCCACCACTCTAGTTGAAAGAGTAAACAGAACTAAATCTACATCTTTTTTTAAAGCAATGCTTCATATTTTGGTAAATGTGTTTGGCAATCTAAAAACATGGCGTGGCGGTTTTCAATTATATTACGATACTCAGATTTAAAAAGAATTTCTTTTTGTAAACTTGTTTCTTTCGTAACACTTTATAATTAATGTATCATGACTTATTTTTTCCAGGACCCCTTGAAATGAGGGAAAGCAGCCAAGATTCTGAAGATCTTCCCCCAGGGGTTGGACAGTATGATGATTTTCACACCATCGACTGGAAACGAGATTTATCTCGAGACAGTTATCGTCACAAATATATCACCCGAAAAATGTCAGATTCATTTTTATATTCATTGAAGGGCTATTGTGATAAATTGTCCGGATGGATTTGTGTATTTCTCGTCGGAGTTGCAGCTGGTAAGTTTTCCTTAACACGGTTTTTCTCAGATTTTTCGCTGAGAAAAATATTTAAAAAAAGTCGCAAATTAAAAAAAGTTTAAGTGCCTTACATTTAAAGCAATAAATTATAGTTTCCAACTATCCATTTTACCGTAAAGAATTATATGGGCCTTAGTACGGACAAGTAACTAAAATATTTAAAGTCATTGAAATTGTTTTAAAAATCGCCAATTCGGCGACATTTATCCACCTCGATAAAAATTATCATTACCAATGCCTTATTCTCATTTTTTACAAATTTTTACAAATATTGACAAATTAAATACAGCATTGAAAGAAGTTTTTAAATATTGAAATAATATACTACAAATGCTTTTTCTTTTCTCAGAACAGTAGCTTTTCTCCATATTGACGCTTTGCGCCATTTTCAAAATAAACATAGAGGGCACAGCTAAAGATAGGCTAAACTTGACTTCAGAGTCAAGAGTAACTATCACAAACAGCAATTATGAAGATAATATATTATTCGTAGAAAAGCATCATTTCATGCTACGATGGAACCATCAAAAAACAATCTATCTCAGTTCTTTGCAATTTTCTGATTATACAACAGTCTTTTATTGCTTCGAACTTATCTGGTAATACAAAAATTAGAAAAAGAACGACGATCATTATACTTAAATGTTGCCACCTCAATAGGACCAGAGTTTGAATTAATCCATTAAATCAGAAGAAGATATCAATTCAGAAGATTCAGTTTCATCCCCTCAGGGAACCAATGAAATGACAGAAGATAATAAGTTATAGTTCCAAATTTCTGTGCATATTTTCCTGTTAGTAAATGGTAGCTTGTAATCTTTACTGCAAGCGAATCAACAAAATACTTAATTATTTGAATTTCAAGCATTTTTAGTCAATTTCTCTCAACTTTGAGGTGGAAGAAAATATCAATTAACCCTTTGCGGCCGTATTAAGTTTATACATGGGTGTCATGTTGGTCAGAATTAATTTTCGTTGAACGCACAGTAATACGTAATATGCAAGGTCATGAAGGAAAAATAAAATTAATTTATTCCTTTTTAAACTTTAGATATATGAAACACAATAATATGTTTTAATTTTATGTAAAAATTACTTTTTATAGTTCTCCATCGTGTGGCATCTTTCAAAGCAGTCTCCCATATGAAGTCCTGGTTTTCGAGAACATGTTTTGTAAAAATAATTTGTTTGGCGTCATCCGCCTTTAATTTTTCTGTTTGTAAATACAGAACAATCCTTACTCTTTNAAGCTAAAAACAGGATAAAAACAGAAAAATTCAAAATGCTGCTTAATTTTTTTAAATATAATATTTTCCACTTTTTCTTTGAATGATATATTTATAATAAAATGCATTAAACATCAGAAGATTCTGATTTGAATGAATGGATATTGGAAAGGCGAACTTTCATAAATTAAAGACAGTCAACTTTATTAATAGAAAGCAATTTAAATAACAGCAATTATAGACTGTATTAGCAATAATTTCGTAAATATCTTTTATAAAAGAAGTATAGAATGATATGAAATTAAATATCCAGAAATGTTTTGCACCAAAATTATACATCAAAAAACTAAAACAGGGATATAAATTTATTATATTAAAATAAAATGTTAAAACTTTAATATGAAATCTGAAAAAATTCTAAACTCTTATCAGATATAATATATTCCCTCATGCTTTGACAAAGATTCTAGCATGGAATCAGATTTTTTTAATATTCCATAATCATCCACAATTAACACTTTCAATGTTAATAAATTTTTTTGACAAATAATTTAAATGAATAATATTTTATTGCAAAACGCTGAAAAACAGCTAATTTAAATGGAATGTGTATGTAACACATTCAAAATAAAATTATTTTCAAAATAAAAGCAACAAGATATATCTACTTACTAAAAAGTAAAACAGCGTTTTCTTCAGAAATACCGTCGTGAACTAAAATTGTTTTAATTCTTCTTAATTCCAAATATTAAATGACATATTCTCCAGAAAAAAAATTAAACGTGAAATAAAAACAAAGACATAATCTATTTAGATCACAGAACATAAAAATTTTATTTAGATTTATCATCGTTTGCTTTTTAAAATAAAACGATAGAAATTCCAACTTATAGCTCGCACACAATTAAATAATAAATAAATCACTCAAGTTTGAGCTAAAAGCACTCAAATATTGCTTAATAAATACCACTCAAGTTTGAGTAAACGCAAAGCAAGAATTTCGCTCAAATAAGAATGCATTTTACTCAAGTTGAGTTAAAATAATTTAACTCTTTTTTGAGTAGGGGAAATAACTCTTTCATTTTAAGAGTATGGTGTCTGAGAACAGACATACGACTGGAACAGTAAAAAAAGCGTTATTGTGAGAGAGGACACGCAAAGGGTTAAATAATATTAGATTTTGTAATCTTTTTAACAACAGCGAACTTTCGAAAACTACTAAAAGTAAGGCTTTTTTAACCCATATTGCTGTGAATTCATTTCTGATTTTTTTTATTTTTATCCGTATCTTTATTAGGCTCTGTAGCAGGATTTATTGATATTGGTGAAAGTTGGATGAAAGATTTGAAAGAAGGTGTATGTCCTCAGGCATTTTGGCTAAACAAGGAACAATGTTGCTGGTCTTCCAACTCAACATTCTATGAAGGAGATGATTGTGCCCAGGTTATATGAAACATATTTTAATAGTAACAAACAATTTTTTTTAAATATTATTTTGATTTTTCTTTCTTCTTACAAGTAAATCATAAAAAAAAGTTTAATTAAGGTATAAATTACAATTTTTACAGCATTTTTATTTCTTTTTCATTTCACTTTTCATAATTTAACTTTAGATTACGTTATAAGAAAATGGATTCTCAATAATCCCGAAACTTTCTCCGCTTTTTTTTGATGAAATCGTTTCCTGGTATATGCTCCGAGCAAAAATTTCGTCAAAGTAACATTATCGTCACTTCGTCAAGGAAACAAATTTCGTCAAACTTTAAAAATAATTCATCATTCTATACATTAAAAAATCTTGTTGTGACTAATGTACTAACTTTTCTAATAATCACTTTATCATGGGCTCTATATAGGTGGATTAATGTCTCCCCAACAACACGAGAAAGACAGAACGGAAACAAAAATTACGACCCCACCTGTAACGGAATTTGAACCCGGGATCTTCATCTTCCTGGTACAAAGTCAACTCCCAGACCACTATACAGTCAGTCACATTACATCGCATACACAGGCTTATTTCACAATCGTGTTGTCTCCGCTCTAGTTACGTCATTCTAGTTAACAATTTCCCACAGAGCGCGATGAGGTTTCGAGTCGAGGAAACAGTTTCGTAATATATTTGAGAGATCACGTTTCATCAAAAATCACGTTACTTGTGATAAAGTGATTACTCAAAATTAACGAAATACAGTTAAAGAATTGCTGAATCGTCAGAAATGAGAGTTTTATTTCTGAGAGCGTAGGTTCTTTAAAATTCAATTTTGCTTTGCTCTGAAATGAAAAGAAAACATCAAACGATCATTTTTTTAACTAAAAGTTCTTAAAATTTTACTTTCAATATGGAGACATTGTTTATTCAGTCCATTTTATCGTGTAAATAAATAAAAAATTTGTGGCGTACTTAAAGGTTTTTAAAAAAACATTTAATATTTTAACTGTTTCTTAACAAACAGTTAAAACATTTCATATTCTTTATTGGAATATTTCCTTGTTTATTTTTATTCAGTGGAACTCTTGGTACACTTTCTTCAACCTTGAAAGTTTTACTCCCGAGGAATACCTATTGTCATATGCTTTCTACGCTGGATGGAGCTTATTTTTTTCGGCCGTGGCGTGTACCATGGTTTTAACATTTGCACCCTACGCATGCGGATCTGGTGTACCAGAGGTACTTCTTACTATTTCATATCAAAGATTTTATCTACTTTTCTTAATTCTTTTTAATGCTTAATGAGGATTAGTTAACAGTTCAATATTTTTTATGATAAACTATAATTGAAATTTTATTATTTGGATTTAATTGTGTTTCACGGCTGTATGTTTCTTAAACACTGTCTATGCAATTCCGTCAAAACCCACGTTTTCAGAACCCCAGTCGAAAGATGATAAATAATCAACAAATTGTAGTAATAAATAAAATGAAATGCGTGATTTTAAAAAAAGATTAACTTGAAGGTGGATTCAAATTATTTATAATTACCTTCAATTTTAATACCCTCCTTTAAATGTATAAACGCATTATAAATAATCATAGGGTTAAAATTTGATATTCCCCGAGAAGCAATATACTTTTACTGTAAAAAATTCCGAATCAACGTAACGGCACTTTGAGTGTGTCAACCGTAAAATAAATTTTACAGTAAAATACATTTTACCGTAAAGTCTATATTTACCTAAAATATTATACCGTTATTTTTACAGCAATATTTATTTAATATAAGCGATTCAGTGGTTTTACGGTAATTATAACTGTAAAAGTTACGATGGGTTGGATTTTTCTGCTTCATTACATGTTACGGGTAAAAATTGATTATACAGTCAAATGTATCGACCTTCTGAGTGTCGGTAGTTTTAACCATAATTTGATCCGGAAATTTTTACAGCGTATACCTTTATCTTTACACGCAACAGTGTTAGTAAGTGACACATTACAACACTTATGATACGAAACTATAATCATAATACACACAAACAGTAACAAATTCACTATCATAGATTGTAATTCGATGAAACGTATTTAATTTTTCGCAATCCTCTATCGACACTTTTAATTTTTGAACCGAATTAGGCTGTTTCAGTTAAGCTGTTGAGCGATAACAAGTTCATAACTGACTCGCAACTTTCTCCTGGTATTTTATAACAGACCTTTGTAACAAGTCACATGTTTTCGAAAAAATTTTTTTAGGAACTGATATTATTCCGTATCAACTACAAACTGTATGTTACAGAAAATTCTAGCTATCTCTAACAATGTCTTAGACTATGATTAATCAGTTTTTGATAATGATTTCCTTTTATTTTTTTTCCTTAACAATCATTTAAGGTGTAGAGCATAGACTCTATCTAAAACAATTTAAATAATGATGTTTATTAATAATAATGTGTTAACATTATTATTGCTTCTGTTTTGGTATTTAGTTTTTCATTTTACATTTCATTATGTGCAGCTTTGCACTTACCCTTGCACCACAAATATATTTCTGTTTTTTTTTTTTCAATTTCTAGATAAAAACTATACTGAGTGGCTTCATTATGCGAGGTTATCTAGGAAAGTGGACATTGGTCATCAAATCAGTAGCCACAATGATGGCTGTATCTTCGGGTTTGAGTCTAGGGAAGGAAGGACCAATGGTTCACATCGTATGCTGTATTGGGAATATATTGTCTTATTTCTTTCCAAAATATGGAAAAAACGAAGCAAAGAAGAGAGAGGTAATTTTATTGAAAACCAATTATTAGGAAAAATAATAATAATTTACTTATTACTAAATTTTTTTATTATACAGTTTAATTAAACTGCTTAATAAAAAAGTCGAGTATTTCTCATCTCTTACGATAAGTGAAACAACCAGATAATCTAATTAAACCATATTCCATGGTTTTTTTGATGAAACACAATTCAACCACAACTTAACTGTAATCTCCATTACCTAACGAAAGGCCTAGCTCTAATGTCCAGTTAAATTTCTTCCATACGGTTCTGAAACCATGCTGATTGTAATTAGTTAAAAAAAACTATAGCTTTGCATCCATAGTTTTTTAACCATACCAGTTATAAACTGTTTCAAAACCATAAAGGTAAAAAATATTATTTACAGAAAAAAAAATCAATATTTACTTTTAAAAAATATAATTTACTTATTATCTTATAATGCTATATGGTTAGGTGCTATCGGCAGCAGCTGCGGCAGGTGTATCCACCGCCTTTGGAGCCCCGATTGGAGGTGTTTTGTTTAGCTTAGAAGAGGTAAGTTGCTTTACTTTTTGTAAAAAAAATTATGTGTGTAAGAAAATAAGAACATAGACTCAATTCAGAATTAATGTAATGCCTTTCTGGGGTCTTGTCGAATTTTTTTAGGGAAAATTAAAAGATATTTTGTAAAGCAACTGATTATTGCTGATTAGAATCTCATTCATCTCAAAACGCTGATAAAAACCAAAATTTTGCCCAAAAAGAGATATGCTATCATTCAAGTAGGAGATTCGCAAAGCCACCTGAGAATTAATTACAATAATACGTTTAAGAAAATCATTTGATTTGTAATGTGTAGAACACGATGAATATGATTTGTGACTCAACGAGTTGTATAACGTGCTCTTCAAAAACTAAGTCAACATGCTTTTCCTTGTTTAGAAAAAACAATCACCCAAATTTCTGACACTTGAAGATATGAGATTATGCAGACAGGAGGAGATATTACAAATCTCTGTACCCTAATTATTGATGATATTGTGTTTCGTAGAGGTATGGAATCTTAACCATGAAACCATTTTAACCATAAAAGAGCTTAAGGCTCTTTGGTAATTGGAATCTTAACCATTCTATGGTAGAAATGCTCCGTGGTTAAATAGAATCTGAACCATTCAATGGTAAAATTTTAGGATAAACTAAAAATTGTAATCTTAGAAATGAAAATGGTTAAGATTAAAAATGCAATTCTTGTAGCAAATTCATGTGGCTCTCACAGAAAGCATGATCATAGCTCAAAATATTTTCGACATATAGCTCTACAGATAACAAATATGTAATTCAAGGAATAAGAGTAATAAAATAACAATACAATTTTTCAAAATCATTTAATAAAAAAATCACATTCTAACATTTTCAAAATGTCTATGATTAACCGCAATCAGGTCTTATAATTAGAGAGGCGTGCGAAAATTTTTGAATCGTTTTTAAACCGTAATCGTTTTTCTGTTTTAAATTAGTTGAAAACCGTTAGTTTAACTTATAATACCCACACATTCCAACTCATTCTTTCCAACACATTTTAATAGACACCTAATCCCTTTGCTTTAGAATTTCGAAACAAAAAGTCAGAATTTTCAGTATTTCGGACAATTAATGTTCCTAGTTAATTCAGGTTAACGGATATCAGTGTAACTTAATTTTTACATGCGACTATAAAAAATTATACTACATATTGAAATTAAGCGAAATTCGTTTGCATTAAATATATCATCAGTTATGCGCAACTCATACTAACTAAAACCTAATGAATTTCTTCTTGTTGTTGTTTGAGGAAATGAGATGATTCGTGTTGTTATATTCACTAAACTAACTTCAACGGATTAATAACTAGACTGGATTTCATTATTTTTTAAATAAAGTTGTATGTTGCTATTGCAGGTGAGTTATTATTTTCCAATGAAGACATTGTGGCGAAGTTTTTTCTGTGCCTTGGTAGCAGCATTTGTTCTTCGTTCAATAGATCCCTTTGGAACTGATCATGTTGTCAAATATTACATGAGTACAAGACGTAAATGGATCTTGATAGAATTAATCCCATTTATTATTCTTGGAATAATCGGGGTGAGTTACTCAATTATTTGCTTTTTAATAATTTCGCTTTATAGGATAACCATGAAGGTGGTCTGGAAAATGATTAACTTCTTGAAACATGATTAACTACAAGAAAAGATACATGATTAACTTATTTTCTAACTACTAATTGAAACATGATTAACTACTTGAAAAGATACAACAATATTTCAGCTACTTTTAAACGTAAGAACTAGAATTCCAACATCTGTCATACTGTAAGTTAAGTTTTTGTAGTCCAACAAAAAGTGATGGTCCTAGTAAAAGTCATAAAAGTCCTGCCGTCATAGAATGGATCCAGAGTGCCTCACTGTGGGAAACACATGACTGGACAGGAATTTCAAAAACAGTTAAATTCACCCAGAACAAAAAATGTGGGATTCAAAGTGTTGATGTTGTGTTCCTTCAATAGAACATTCGCCCAGCTAAGGCCTCCTCCACAAAAATTCTGCTAAAGAAGTTTCACCGGACGTTGTTTGATCATTCACTGTATAGTCTTGATTTTGCTCCCACCGACATTTTTCTGTTCATGTGCCTGAGGAAATTCTTGTTTAATTTTCTCACGTTCCTTTAGACGAATCGGTGCAGAGAGCTTGACACATTGGATCCTTCCCAGGCAGCCAGCACACTTCTATGATGCTGATCTACAAAAACTTGTCTCACGGTATAACAAATGCTACAATTCTGTGCTTCTTGTTTTGGATTAGAACTTTAGTGTTTGGAAGTGCTTAGAAGACACTAGAACTTTTGATAACTATAACTTTGTTTATTTCCTTCATAAACAACTAAAATTTTAAGAAGCGTTTTACAACATAAAGTCCATCATCAAAGCGAGTAGAAAGACGTCAGTACTTCGGGCATCGGCGGCTTGTGTCCAGCACACATGTCCGGGTGAGAGCTGAAGTCGAAGTGGCATACTGATCGACGGTGAGCTGCCTTTTATCCTCCTTGAGTGTAGGCGCGAGCCGTCCGGGAAAGCTGATTTGCATCTTGAGAGATCGGCTTCTTCCAGCCGCGTTGCATATTAATGAAGATGACGTTCTGTGTGACGTTCTATGTGATGAGTCTCTGATGACGCCACAGAACCATCAATATTATGAATGATTTTAATATTTTGAATTCCATGTTTTTTATTACAGTTAATGCACCACCTTGAGATGATCTTGCAGTTTATACCTTATATGTTTTATACAGTTTTTAAAAATCTGAAACGAACTCAATAATTTTTACACAAAAAGTTAAGGAACATCTTTATTATTATTTTGGATTTTATACTTATTTTTACAGATAGATTGAAAAACGACAATCATGTTGGTTGTGCTGATAACGAAAGTTTTAATGTATCTGAAAAATTGCATTTTGAATTCTTTTCACTTTTAGTCAGAATACTTTGCGACTTTTGTTGTTCTTAATTTTATATCTGACCAAACTCATTATAGGTGGATAATTTATACAGGATCAGGTAGTTTGTTTTTCATATAAACTACGAACATTGGGTAAAGTTTCATAATGATTAGCTGTACCTTTTTTAAAAGTCACGCTGGGATGGATGCTTGATATTTTTGATTTTGCTTAAATTTTCAGGATATGTTCTTTGCATAAAAATATTAGACGAGTGATTCCTTATTTTTGCGAAAAACAATTTATCTCGAAGTTTTCTTTTCGGGGGGGAATCAAATTTGAAGATCTTCTGAAATTTTGAAGAAAAAAAACCCATCAAATTACAAATGAAAATACTTTTTGTGAAACAAGTGAATCGCCACACTTACCGTTATTTTATGCTCTACTAAATTCACACTAACTACACTCTATAAAAAAAAAATCGACGCACCGAGAAGCAATCGTCTGATTGCTTTGAAATTTCGTATGCATGAATGTTTTGAACTGATATGGCTGGAATGATGCCGACTGGGGACGTAATTAAAAAATTCTTTAATTAAAAAAGTGCAAGACTAATCTAGTAATTAGCGCATTATAGCCATTTCAGGCTCTTGTGCCAATAAACTTCAACCAATCATCCAAACAACCAATGCTTCTTACGTTAAGGAAAAGTAACTGAAATATAGCTGTATTTCTCACACACCCCCCCTTCTCTCTCTCTTTTGCAATAAATTCTTTCAGGAAATTATGTTTTGCTTCTTCTTATGGGCCATGGTCTACATACCATCTGGGTGACCCTCGCGTTGAAAATATTTTCACCAACATAATTTTATTTACGTTGAATAACTCCCTTACAAATATTTATAAAGTGCTGCAATGGCTCAGAGGATAGAGGGTTCGCCTTCCAATGAGGTGAACCGGGTTCGAATCCCATCGATAGCTGGTCGATACGAATTCCGCGTCCGGCTCGCACTGGCCACAATGCTAATGTGAAATATCCTCAGTGGTAGACGAATCATGGTTTAGAGTCCCTTTGCCGTCAGACTAACCGTGGGAGATTCTTGTGGTTTTCCTCTCCATGTAATGCAAATGCGGGTTAGTTCCATCAAAAAAGTCCTTCGTGAAGGCAAATTTCTCCCAATACTTGATCCAGAAGTTCCTTGTCTTCTGAGTTGGGTTCAAAATTACAAGGCAACATAGTTGAACGTTAGTAGTCGTAAACTTACAAATTAGGTCGACTGTTCAACATCGTTTGTAAAATAAAATAAAAATATTTATAAAGAGCGTTTTCTGAAAATATTTTTATATAAAATAAGAAAATCATTTCTTTTAACGCTAAACATTTTGAATGAATGGCATATGATGTTCTCTATAAAGTACGTATTTTACGATTTTTAACTATATCTTTAACTATTTCTTTTAACTATATCCTATTGAGTCCTTTCATCTGCTCAAATGGATGTTTCTACGTAAATTTCGACACATTTGTAAGGCAATATTTTAAATATTTTTTTGTTCGCACGCATTCAGAAAGCTATTTTCTGTTCAAAACTGAAATTTATTTTGCTCCTAAAAGCCTGAATCTTCAAACAAATGGTGTCAAAAAAAGTTAGAATTGTTAAAAGAGAAGAAAGAGACTTGTTTTGAAGCAGTTTTTTTACAAATATTGCTGTCACAGTTGAAAAATTTGGAAAAAAAGGAAAAACTCAAAAAATCATCATATTAGTAATGGCGCCAATGATTTTTAATTGATTTACGCAGTATATGAATATTAAAATATAAATAATAAGCCATGTACTAAAAGACAAAATGAATGGAGTAAATATTCGTGTAGAGGAACAGTAAAAAGTTGCATTACTATTATTAACAAGAATGATGCTTCATTAAGGTTGATAATGATTCATTAATTGAAACAAAAAATAACCTATCTACTGAGCCAAGCTAACGATACTTTTTGGTTTTAGGGACTCGCAAGAAATCTCCAATTTAACATCGATGCATAATTAATATTGGTAATATATAATAATTGAAATGAAAAAATAAGCTTTGAATGGAGAAAAAGGTAGTGAGAACATCATAAAGGAAAACCATAGACAATCGCCATACGCAGATGACGCTTAATTAATTTTAGTAATATGTACTTCTGATATTAGGATAATTGTTGCAGTTTTAAAAGTAATTCAACATCAGGTTTTCCGTAGTTTCAGAAAATATTTTTCATTAGTAGCTAAGATAGTGTATTAATATCTTAATGAATTCGAATTAAAAGAACTTGTTCAGCCATTACCTATAAATATTTTAAACAGTAAATTTTAGATCACATTGAGAAGTGGTAACTCTCCAAAGTGCTTATTAAGGTCGTATAAGAATTCTAATTGGTTTTAAAATTATTGCTTTACTTTGCTGCCACTGACAATTGTATTTCGCACGAAACTCAAATGCTAAAGGGTTATGCAATAAGTACCAAATATATTAATATAGGTATAAAGTATTATATTTTGGGAACAATAAAACTGCACCCATACTATCAGTATTAAAATTGCTTAAAGCAGTTTTAATACCTATACTGGGAAAATAAGTGTCTTATGGCTCCTTGGAAAAGAATATATTATGGGGACAATAACTTGGTAGTGGTAAATTTCGGCTATCATGAGTTGGCTGCAAGCAATATCATCTCGCCAAGTGATGCTAAATACATTTAATCTCTATTTTGATGGAATAAACTAAAAGATACTTGTTTTTCTGAAAATAATGGGGAGATTTCGCAAATTTACGTTAACTCTGGCGTGCTCCCGTACGGAGGATTTCAAGTAATTGCACATGCGCCAGATCAGGTGAAATGCGCATGCGCCTGTGAAAAAGTATCAAACCTGCGTTCGTGAAAATAAGAGATTTTGCAAAAATCCGTAAGTTTAAAACGCTAACGTAGTGGAATATCATTTTAAACCACAAAATCAAAACAAAAATTTACAATAGACGTTGACTATCTCTTTAAAGCCGTGGCATACGATTCAGGATGCTATGTGCAAAACTGCGGATCTGTGAGCAGAAAAATTTAGTAGATTATGGATTTCGGTGAATTCAGCGATAAATAATGCAGCTTATTATTACTGCTATTATTATTATTAAACTTTAGGAAAATATTATTGAACTTCTATTGATTATTTAACTTATTTCAGTAAAATTGCAGAGATAAAATAAATATAATTTATAATTTTAAAATAGTGAAGATATATTTAGTCTCTAGTACAAAGAGACAACCATAGTGTTAAACAAAAACCAATAAAATTATTTATTTATTGAAGGAACTAATTGTTGTAAAATCACACGATTCATTTCTAAATTTCATCAATATATTTTTCGTCAAATTCGCACTCTACGTCCATGTTTTTAGTTCAAATGTGTTCTTAAACAGAAAGCAACATTTAACAGCTATAAACAGCGTTCTTATAGCTTTCCTTGCAACGTAAATCACGTCAATATAACTTAAAGATACGTAGGCTCTGAAATAAACGCGAGTTTGTGCAGTTGCTTCAATGTTGCGGGGAAAAAATATAAAAAGGTGCGAAAGTAAAAGTGCGAAATCTAATAACGTAAAGTCACCGGGAAGGGCAACAAATAATAAAAAAAGGAAATTATTTGGCTTTATTAATTAAATATCTTTTGTTTTTTTTAACAGTGTCGGTATATGCATTTCAGTTTTGTGCATGATATCGTAATGTTGTTCAGTACTGACGAAATGATTTCTTTATTCACCTCGTTCGAAGAATGGGTATTCAGCTAGTTCTAAAATAACAAAAATCTTGTCATTCAAATAATAATTTTCATTCTCCTCTTTTCCTCGTCATGCATCTCCTTAAAAAAAAAACTAGGAGTTCTTCGTGAATAGCCAATGAGGGAAAAGGAAGGACATCTTAAAGAAAGTCCAATGAAAAGGGAGGTGGGCCGTTCAAACCTAACCACTTACGAAATTATTGGCCGTCAGAGGAAACTAGCCAGATCTGGAACAACTAACACGTGACCACTACACCCTCATGAGAAAAAAAAAAGCAAAAGGCTAAAGGTTAAAAATGACGGTTTCCGTCCAGTACGCAATTAAAGTTCACCCACTGTGAAATGAAAAGAAAATGTCCCAAGGTTAAGAGCATAAAAATTATATTTTAAAGTAAAGAGCCAAGGGGGTTCAGCTGCAGAAAAGATGACCGTTTTTCTCCCACGCCAGAAAATGCCATGTGTCAGCTGCGATGAGACAGGACCAAGAGGATATGGTGCAGAGATAATATCACGTTACGGTTGGTAAAGAATAAGATTGGGGAAAAATATCTTAAAGGTGTGCATGACTGAAAAAGAGAAACATGCAGTAATAAGCAATTATAAATAAATTAATATCGCATAATTAAAATATAAAACATAATAATAATCTGTAAAAGTTAATAATTAATAAAGATATGCAGTATTTAAACATATACATTGTAAATTGATAACAGAATTAATTATAAATTGAACGTTAATGAAGTTAAGAGCAGGAATTTGTAAACAAGAAATTAAGAGTTAAAAGGACAAAAGTAAAGCAAATAAAAAAACAAAATTATATTAAGGAACTACTAGTAACTCGTGATAAAAACTTGTAGTAAAAACTTGCGATAATTAACATTATCACATAGATATATTAAGTAATTAATATTGTCAGGCGGTAAAGGCAGAAATGTGCTCAAAAAGAAACTTCTTTGCAACCTGTATTAAGAATAACGTTTCTACTTTCAGGGTATGATAGGGACAGCATTCATTAGAGCAAATATAGCATGGTGTCGATTCAGGAAATCGTCTAGACTTAAAAATTTCCCGATTCTTGAGGTACGTAAGTTATTTTGACATATCAATAATAACCAAAATTAGATTGATTTTTAACGAAACAAAGTTTAGTTTTAAGTCATTTAAATTATTTTTAAATATTCGATCTCAACTTAATAAAAGTGGACCTTAATATTCTTGAAAAAAATAAGTATTGTTAAATTTAATTCTTCTATATTCTGCCAAACAATTTCAAGCATCTGAGTACCATAAAGGGTGGCAACCATTCTAATACAAAGTGGTGTTTCACAAAGAGTTTCACTACATTAGAAACCAAGGATAGTTCTTGGTGCAGTGAAACACCAGTGTTTTACACTACTTGGTGTATAGTAGCCCCCATCATGTTTGTTATTCAGTTGCATGAAATTTTTTAACAACATTTAGATATGATACACATAAGAATCGGTAACGTTACTTTTATGATACAATGTAAAGCAAGAATCATAAATTGAGATGGATATATGCAACAAGAATCACAAATTTATGACTCATAAAGGCAATAATTCCTAAAACAGAATCAGTTTTGCTAATTAAAATATTAAAATGAATTCAAACAAAACCGAAGTGGATAGAATTTTACTATTAAAACTGTTTTATATAATCGATAGATTTATGTAAATCTTATACGAACATAAATATTTTTATTACACAACTCAAAACATAACTGCGTTTTGTTACTGTTCATATGAGTAGTCAATATGATAAGAAGATTGAAATTAGTTGGCAAATAACTGACCACAATCAATATTTTTTATCAACCAGTAAAGAGGATTGAAACTTACTTGATATTAAATGGATTCTGACCAGTTTGTCAATTCAATCCAATAAGAAGAACTTCACTTCATGTAAACAAACCGCTATCTAGGATGTCATATTGCATATATCTTGAAATTGCACAATTATTCGCCTTTAAACAGTTTCTAATGGTGCAAAAGCATCTATTATAAGTTTTATACATGCCCTACCATTATTTTATACAAGAACTATGTTAAATAGTTTAAAAATACACTAATTATTCCCCAAATTTACAGAGCTCCGAAAAGCAGAAACCTTCTTCAAAAACAAGCGGCAAATTGGTGTAAGCTTTATCAATTATCTTATCGGTGTTAAGATTTAACAACACCCTTTGAAGTGACCAAGCTGTTGAATAGTATCTTGAAATAAAGGAATCATTCCCACAATTATTAAAGTTTTTCAGCACCAAACTCAGATAGATATTACGCCACAGTTTTCACAGTGTGCGACATTTAACACGATCTGTGAATGATAAAGAAATGGGCGTTATTTTGAAAATTCGATTAGCTTACCAAAAGTTTAGTAATTCTGAAACACTGGTTATTAACAGAGATTTCGTCCACTTTCCGACTGTAATATAATATTCAACTGAAGCACCATAACTGAGGATTGCATAAGTTATTTTCGTTTCTGGATCTATTAAAGGCAGAATTCATTTTATTATATGACCGGCGATGAACAGCCGTCACATTCTTGGGTCAACGACTAGCAATATTCAACTCCATAGCTTTGCAATTTAAAACCCGACCCAACCAACCAGGGAACTCCTGGTTCAAGAATTAGGAAACACTAGCCTCAGTGAAGAACTTTTTGAAAGTACTAACCTGCATTTGCGTTTGATGGAGAGGAGAACCATAAGAATCTCTCACGGCTAGCTCGACGGCAAGCGGTTTCTAACCCATGATCCGTCTTCCACAGGGAATATTTTGACATACACCAACCGTGCATCAGCACGGTTGGTGAATGTCAAAAATATAATTCGTTCCAACAAGCCATAGCGGGATTTAAACCTGGATTACCTCATGGCTAGCCAAATACTCTATCGCCTGAGCCATTGCGGCTCAAATTGAATTTACTATCATTTTATCGCCAAATCAAATTAATCGTAAATAAAAGTTAAGGACCACTTTAAAACTAGCAATAGCAATTGAATGGGATGCTGTTCTGGATGATGAAATAAGCTCGAATGGTTCCCTAACTGCTAAAAGCATAATACCGCCAAATTTGAACCTACTGGGGATTATTGTCCGTAAGCATTCTGACCACTTTAAGTTAACTACATTCATCTGCCAACTCTGAGAAAAACTGACTTGAATATTTAAGCACAGTTTATGTGACACTTAATTTGACCTTTTATCGATAGTGCAATGGCCAACGTTGTAACACACTTGCTTGATGCCCAGGCATTTAGGGTTAACGATTGATAAAACCTCTAAACTTTTAGAAGAAAGAAAAATCTTTTTAAATATTAGTTAAAGATGTTTTTCAACTTATCAACTTCAAAAACATTGTTCATGCATACAATCATTAATTTGTTAATTAAGCAAAATTTTAAATATATATTTTCGCTTTCAATATTTTTAAGACAAATAACATTCTGATTAGTGTTTATAAAACAAAAAATATGTGAACAAAATTTTCTAATAAATAATTAATATTTTAATAAAGCGCTATTAATAAATATTAAATTAACCAGTATCATTTTATTAAAATATTGAATTATTTATTACTGTAATTTAAATCTCAACTAATGTCCAATAAATAAAAAAATTAATAAATAAAATATAATAATTTCTATTTAAATTATAAATATTTATTTTCAAAAAGTACTAAAAAAATCTGAGTAAAGGAAATGGAATGAAAGAAAGTTTTCCACAACGTAAGTTGAACTCTTAAACCGCTATGCCATTTATGAAGTGGAAACCCTACTTATATTGAAATTCAGATTAAATTTCAAATTATCTAGTCAACGCGATGAACATAAGATGAACATAAAACATAAGATGAACATAAACACACTTCAAGTACACTACGAATTGACTGACTTTCCTCTCAAATTGAATAACTCAAACTGAGCCCATCTTTTGTAAAATAATCCGCGTTTTAAAGAAAAATTAAATTTTCTAATACTGCTTGATATTTTAAAATATATCTTGATGATAACTTAAATCATAGTTACGGTAATGAGCAGTCAAAATAAGAAAACTGTAACTTAGCATTATGTCCAGAAAAGTGTTTTGCAAGTACCCAATATTTCCTTTAGATGGCAGTACTAAACGCTTTATTATGTACATTTTTTTCATCATAAACGCTCTCTTGATCATTTTGAAAATGTGGCTTATCCTTTTTGAACATCTACTCTAAAAACTGTATTTTTATAGAAAACTCTATTTATCAGGTGTTGGGAATCACTCTTTTCACATCATTAATCAGTTTTCCTAATGATTTCACTCGAATGAATGCGAGCGATCTCATCAAAGTACTTTTCAGTCAGTGCAGAATTCATGATGAATCGCAGCTTTGGTAAGACTTTTTTAATGATTATTCTTAAAGAATAAAAAACTTTTTTGTAAGAGACTTTTTTAGAAATATTCTCCTTTAATTGAATTGTTATTTTTAATTCAAAAATCGGAGCTCTTCTTTACCAGCTTAATTTGGTGAATGTAAACATAATTTCTATCCTGAAATACGGGAACAACACTGCACTGTTGGAAAACCTTGTCTATAAATAATAATACATACTTTTTGTTCAATTAAAAACCTCGGCTCAAATGCTTCCATACGCATCTCCTTTTATATAAATAAAACACGCTGTATAAAGAAAGTTCTGCTGTAAACTAATACTATAAATATGAAAAAATGATTTAACGTGGCATTTAAAACAATTTTTTTATATACTACTATCAACTTATATACTATATATATATATATTAGTAGGAAAATATCGAAACGCCGTATGAACAGCTGACGGAGTTTGCACTAGGCCATATCATCGGTATTCGAGAAGTTGAATTTTCGTATAGAGAAATTTCATCCCGCACGCTATACAATGCCACATCAGCTACACATGCTTGGAAAAAATAGACATAGGAGAAACAAACAAGGTGAAAGCCTGGCAGTGGCCCATAGAAGTTCACATGCTACTTTAAGTTCGTAAAAATATACCTCGTGGATAGATATTATCATCAGGGTGATGATACTAAGCACGGTTCTAAAATCGTAGCAACTTGATTTACAGTTAAGAAGGTTAAAACTTTGAACTGGTTGAGTCAATCACCTCACCTGAATTCAATGGAACATTTTGGACTAAAGAAAAGTCAGAGAGCACGGAAACATTCTTTAAAGGTGAAAATCTTTCAGGATTTTCAGTTAAAATAGGTTCACCCTCAAGAAAACTTCCATTCACCAGACAATGTAACGCAGTCATCCATCCAAAAGGATAAGCAACGGTGTTTTAAAAATTTGCTATATTTTCGTACCTTTAGAGGATTAATTTCAATAAAAGTTTAGAAAAACTGAATCGTCTCCAAATGTTTGATTTCAATTTTTCTCATTTTCTTTTCGTGTTAGTTAAATAAAAAATTTTCAAGTCTATTATTAGTTGCTCCACATGTAGGATAATTGAAATTACAATTCTAAAAGTATAAAAAAAGTATTCATAAAGGTATAAAAAATAAGTAAGTATTAATAATATTAATGATCTGAAAATATTATTTTTTGAGAAATAAAATGGTACCAAAGTATATTGGACGCTGGGTCTAAAGAAGAAAGAATTATCACGATCAAATGATAAATTCAGTTGTTATTGTAATAAACATATGAATGACTGTATTAATTTCATCATTGCACTTTAACTTGCAAAATATAGTTATTTATAACCCGACTTCTAATCAAAGAATATGTAATGTGTAATAAGAATATGCAAGAGTGTTATATATTCTTTGTTCAAAAAAATATTTAATTTCATTATACTACTCTAAGAAAACTAAAATTAGCATTAATAAATCTCAAACATCCAGCGTTGAATTTTTTTAAAAATCATGGTAATTTTATACGGGTTTTTTTTTTGGTATGATTTTGGAAAAATGTGTAACGTAATATTTCGTTAAAATTCAAATAATATTTTACAAAATGTTTTGTTCTTTTTCAGTGACTATGAAAGAAATGTAACCTCATTTGAGAAACATATGGAAATAATCGGAGCAGGTCCAGGAATTTATAAATCCTTGTATCTCTTGCTTCTTGCACTTTTTTGCAAATTTATTCTAACGATTTTTACATTCGGAATAAAAGTAAGTTTAATAAAATTTCATATGTATTCAAAATTTTATAGAGCTATATTATCCTTTATAGGCTTATCTATTTTTAGAAATAATTTAAGTTTTAAAATATCTGTGTTTGGAGCGGTTGAAAATTTGGTCCCTTTAATATGAATTTCCTTTTTTCGCTTATTTCTCTCTCCTTGTCTCCGGAACTAATGAAATAAATGAAGCAGTTTTTGCTCACATTATAAAATTTGTTTACCCAAGATAAAAAAGAATTATGCTTTAAAATTGCTTATTTTTTTGACATTTAATATTAGAATGGTCGAAAACAATTTGATTTATAAGGTATACAAATTTTAAATGACAAAATCTAAAATTTGAAAAGATTCAATTGAATAGTTTTGATACAAGATGGCAAAACTCGCAAATTATGAAATATATGTAAAAAGGGATTCAAACATTTAAACACGATTGTTTCCTGCGTAAGCAATCGGAACCATATTTTTCAAATTGCTGCTATTCTCCATATCTTGAGGGTCAAATGAATTCCGCGATGAAGAAAAAGTTCAAAAAAATTGCAGTGTCTATAAGCTTTTGTTGGCGACGTTCTAAAAACTCGTGGTATTTTAGACGAAACAAATTATGTTTTTAACAGTTTCTCTAAATATTTCTTGTTTTTAAACAAATTGACGATAGTTTTTTTTTTTAATGATAATAGTTTCAAATGAATTTCGCATTGCTTAAAATGTTTATAAATTCCAAGAATGTCCCCCGTTATGCTAGTGATATATTGCATCTTCACTTAGCGGTTTTTCGAACAAATATGTTCTTTTTTAAAGTTATCTGTAAATGTTTTTTGACGCATGTGATTCTGTTCAAGCAAATATCACTCCGTGGTTAATATTTAACTAGTTTCAATTGAATCCAGCAATCCAAAGGATTATAAAAATTTTAAAAATGCCCGCCCTAATGTTAGAGATATTATGCTACTTTGCACGTGTTTGCTTCGTGTTTTACGTTAAACAAGTTTTTTAAATTTTTCTTTTATTAAAAAAAATTGTAAGAGGCTTTGAGGCCGTTATTATGGCTCACAAATGCAAATCCGGAAGAATGTTTTTGTATCTGATTTTCTAACCTAAAATACTGAAATTAGTTCCTTCAACCATTAAGATTGAGTTTTAGTACGTTAAAATTCGATCATGAGATCAAAAGTTATTCAGGTTGTCCAATTTTTATTTTGAAGATTAAGCATTCATATTTTTTATTTAATGTTGAAAAAAAGAGATATTTCGACGTTTAAAAGTTTCGATCTCATATTTTTAAGAATAACATCCCCGACAGCTATTTTACAATGCAGCAGCTTTTAAGAATTATTTTCTTTTTTGAAATTTTTCTCTTGCCTGTAAAGGTCGTGACTATAATGAAAGCTTTAATTTCTTTTAAAATTTGCTTTTATTATTATTATTATTATTATTTATTCAAGTAAGCGGGTCGTTAAACGACGCTGGATTGGAAAATATTTCATGCAAAAAGTATTGAGATTTCTCGAGCTCTGATAAAAAATACTTAATCATTACAGTCACATATATTTAGTAAATGTATTCAATATATTCATCAAAAAGTTACTTATTCTACAAATATATTTCTCATAATGGATAAGAATATAAACATCAGAAATTTAAATGTGTACTATGAGGCTTGTATTTTATTCTGAATAGCCAAAAAGTTTTAATCCTGTTCCTTAAACTCTTTCCTGAAAGTTGGAGGAAAGTTCTATTATTCTCGTCATTGCTCTTCCTTTTCAAATAGAATTTAACTTTCATTCTGATTAGTTCCCTATTCAGCTACAAAGAACAATTTATTCCCCTACGATGTGTTCTTGCTACTTAAAATTCAAGTGCTTTGCCATTCGAATCTGCTGATGCCATAATTTTAGAAGTTTTATTTTAGTTTTTCACGTACATGTAATGACATTTAAATAAAGAATTTGAATTTGTAAAGAAATTTAAAATCTTCACTTTCTTTGCTGACTGGAAATGCTCGTAAAAATGAGATTTTGTATTCATTTCAAACAATATGTCAAAAAAAAAAAAAAGAAAACGATATCTTTTATCACCGAGTTTTTGATTTAAGTATGCAACGGAAAGAACTTTTTTGTGTCCTTAAATAAGATAATCATACTGAACAAATATTAGGTAGAATTCGATATTCCTTAGTTATAAGCAGAGAAGCGTTTGTCAGCACAGTTCTTTTGGCCATTCGAGGTTGTTTATATCCTATTTTTTGAATTTTCATTTAAGTGCTTAGATTTTCCCCCTACAAGTAATGGCATGTAGATAAACAATTTGAACTTGTAGAGATAATTAAAAGCTTCAATTTTCTTTACTGGAAATATTTATCAAAAATAAAATTTAATATTCATTTCTTAGCATAAAACCATGCACGTTTACTATATCATCGTTTAGAACACGAAAACTTATTTACACGTTCTTTGCAATATCGGTTATTCTAACAATTGATATAACGTTATTATACAATGTTGCCGGCATTTCGCTATGCATGACGTATTATTCTGTTTACACGCCTTAAGGTTAACTAGGAAATGTGTGAAGAATTACAAATGTGTGACTGAATTTAGTTTCTTCTTCTTCTCAGCACTATAAGCCAGAAAGGGTCAGGGCCATCCCAATAAATTTCTTCTAACGAAGTCTGTTAGATATCTGGTTTTTTTTTCCAATTAACTAATTGGAAAAAATGCAATTTTGCAATTTGCAATGTTTTTAGAAATTTTTCAATGCCATCAAGCCTATTCTCTACAAAGGCGAATTTCACCCAATACTTGACCACGGAGTTTAGCATTAGAAGACATATACCCAAAATTGGATCGGCTCTTCAGCAAATTTTATAAAATAAAATGTTATGAAAACAGAGCCATGGTTGTCTCAGGAAATAGAGTGTTCTCCCTCCAATAAGGTGAACCGTGTTCAAATCCCAGTGATGGCTGGTCGATACGAATTCCGCACCCGACTCGCATCAACCACATTGCTGACGTAAAAATCCTCAGTGGTAGACTGATCATGGGTTCTTTGACGTCAGGCTAACCGTGGGTGGTTTTCGTGGTTTTTCTCTCTATGTAACGCAATTATGGATTAGTTCAATCAAAAAGTCCATCACGAAGGCAAATTTTTCCCAATACTTGATCCAGGAGTTCTCCAGTCTTCTGGATTTTGTTCAAAATTACAAGGCTACGGAGTTGAACGTAAGTAGTCGTAAATATTAAGAGTTTAGTAACAAGGCACCTCTATTGTTTAGTAACAAGGCACCTTCCTGACTCCTGGTGGCCTCTTGCTGCCTATTTATAAGAAAGATATACTCTAAACCTCTTATTGATTTACCTGCAATGGTTTGATTTCTACTTGAATTTTCTCCTAAACTGTTTTTTGCCTTTTAATTTCATGCCTTTTGTCAATCTCGGCCTTTATGTGATTCCTCATTTAATTTTTAACCACTTGTGTTCCTAGAGTATATAATATATATATATGGGCTATTCCACGGTAACTTACGTTACATTCACATAAACTTTATTGCATTGAGAACTTAGAAGCAAACAAATAATATGAATACACATATTAAAATTAAGTCATTTCTTAAAATTACAATCAAAATCAAAAGGAATCTAATTAAAATAATTATTATTTTTCAATTTAAACAGTGTAAAAGCCTAAAATTAGTGTGGTAACTTACGTTACCGAAAAAGGAATGGCATAAATTTGCAATATACTTGAAGGCAAAATTCTGTTCTTATACAAAAGTTTCATGATTAAGATTATATGTATCATTTTTCTGACATGTTTAAATATTTCTTATGCCTAGATTTAAGATTTTATTTCAAAAGTTAAATTAAATATAATTTTTTAAGTGGGTAACTTACGTTACAGTAACTTACGTTACGAAATTCCCTTTGTATCAAACTTTTATCAAATAATGTACAAATGCAAATTAAGTTATTTAAACAGTATAGTGCAAGGGAGAAAAAGTGTACATGAAGTAAATTCAGATACTTTTGATTCACACATAACTGCAAACTTATTAAGTCCTCTGTTATTAACTAGTACAGGGGGCTCAATTCTTTTCACCATGCTTTCTTTCTGGTAGAATATTTCATCTCTTTTTTCTGGCCATTTACAATAGATTCCCACAGCAGCCATTACATTGACTTTAAATTCTTGCTCTGCAACAGACATTACCACACCAGGATATAACATGTCCTCCTATCTAACCATATATCAACCCCCAGCATTTATCTTGGATTCATCATTTTCTTTTTCAACATCTTTCACTAAAAAAAACTCTTCTGGTATGCCTTCTTGTACTCTTAAATGGTGGATCTGCTTAATGTTTTTAATCTGTGGAGATTTTGAGAATAGACTAGACACTCCACTCATCTGTTCTAGAGACTCGCACTCAGCTGTTTTTTCTAAACATAAAATAAATTTCTAAAGAATTTCGTAAGATGGAACATTATAAATTTTGCTGAAGGCTTCCTTAGTCAATCCGAACTTTTCATGATGCTTACAAACACAAACATTGCCTGGAAGTTTGCTACTAAGCAAGACATGCTTTGGACGGAGCTCAAAGAATTTAGTTTTTCCAATTTTGCATTCTGGATTTTCTTCCATAAACATTTGGTGCATTTCTCGAACTGAATGATGAAGATGCCGTGCTTGTACTTTCTTTTTGCTACCATTAGCATCTCTAATTATAACTACATCCTTAACTCCCGGTGCCTGTCGAAAGATTTCGTTCAACTTTGAAAACATATGAATGCCAACACCCAAATTAATAACTTAAAGCAAAGAGTTTCATTGAAATTAATATCTTAAGGCAGTGATAATTTATTTAAACTTTGGTAATGTAACTGGATACATCTTATTTAGTTTGTATGCCAATTTTCAAGAGGAATAAACTCATTTCACATTGGTAACTTACATTGCATGCATGTCAGTAACTTACGTTACACATATTGAATGGGGCTCAAAACAATAAATAAGTAATATTTGGAAAAAAAAACTATCGCTGCTTATTTAGTATTAGCCTCTAAGGAAGAAAAAATATTATTCTTACTCTTGCATCACTTGTTCTTTTTTACACACAAAATTTTTTTCTAGTTTTTGGTAACTTACTTTACATGCATTAATGTTTAGTTGAAATTTATATAATTAAGTGAATTTAACAACAAAAACTTATTTTAACACTGCACAATATTTCTATTAAGTGTAATAAACAATATTTATTCTTTGGAACATTTTGAAATTAAAATAATGTTAACTTACTGATTTTCAAAAACTGACCATGTTCTTCACCCAAATCAGAACAAGTAAATGCCAATGTTCAATGGGTTACCAACACTAAAAAACTAAATTCTCAAAAAAAATAATTATAAATTATCAAACTTCAAACCTTTCTAATTCAGAAAACATCCAAAATGATAACATTATTCTTATTTGAATTTTCCAATGCTTTTCCCCTTTTTCATGGAATTGCCCATATATATGTATATATGTCTTTTTTTTAAATTCCTGGAACCTGATACCTTAAGAACTGTTGTGCCAGCTGTAATTATATTCTGAGTTACAAACATCTTATATTTAACCATGTGAAATTGTTTCCTTTCATTAACTTTGCATCCCTACTGAAGATGCGACATCAATATCTCTTCTGATTGATATAAGTAACGCTATTTTCTGGATTTCATATTTAATATTCTACCTATTTGTTAAAACTCTAATTTGAAAATTTCTAAGATGTTTGCTTATGTGATTGAACAGTTGCGCGCACTTCGAACTTTCGGAGTGTCGGGGCAGAGTTAAGCTAGTTATAAGTAGTCGTAAACCCGAAATTTGGGTCGGTCGTTCAACGTCACAGTAATAAAATAAAATAAAATGTTATCGAGCCATCTGAGTACTAGAGCCACTTGGATCATTGAATGCTTTAGTGGGGCTGTAATCTTCTAATCGTAATAAGTAACCAAGTTACATTATTCAGTTTGATTCGATGACTTTTGCTATATCTGGTTGCCTATATCGATTATAAATGCCATCATTGTAGATAATTCTCATGGCATTATTTTCTCGGAGAGTAGCGAAAATTTCGTCTAGTGTTTTTCTTTCAAGCACTAGTAGCCTGTTTTGAATATGTTTACTCAATCCCAGATTTCGCACCATAAGGGACAACTGCTAGGATTAGTGTGTTATACATATTGACTTTTGTTCTATTGCTTATTAGTCTGCTTATTAGTCTGCTGCTCTATTGCTTATATTAGCCGGTTTTTTAAACCAGAGGAACATCTTTAGCTTTCAAAAATAAATCTTTGAGAGGACTATTTTCTGATTCACCACTCTGAGCTTATAGCAAACTTCCTGAAAGAAATCAGGTTAATTGAACGATGCATTTTCTAATTTCCCTTTGAGGATATGTGATCTTACAGTTGTAAGCATATAACATACTTAAAAGAAAAATATAGCGTTTATTTTTAATAGTTAATTTCATAATTTTGTTTCCCCTAACATTTTAATTAAATGTACCACAACCTAAAAAAAATCAAAAAACTGTTCATTTACAGCTTCCAACTGGTCTTTTCATTCCAAGTCTTTCAATGGGTGCCATTGCTGGCAGAATTGTTGGCATCGGTATGCAGGAACTGGCAATGTAAGTAGTAAACAATTTCTTCATTCACATTTTTACTTCTTCATTATTTCTTCATTCAACATTTACTATCAAACAATTCTTCATTTGTTTGATAGTAAATATCAAACAAATATTAGTACAAAAATGGCAAAAAAAGAATCAAATTTATATTTCTTAGCTTTAACTCAGTCAAAATTCAAACTTTTTTTAAAACTAAATGTGTCATATAATGTGAATCTTCAAGTACAAGTATTAACTAATAATAATTCAAACAACAAAAACTTAATTGAAACAAATTCACTATTTAATTCAAAACGAAGAAAAAAAATAACAAGTTGAAATTTGTTTGAAGTCTATGAAATCAGTAAAACCGCTGAATTCGTAACGTGGGTAATTCGATATTAATGGTTGATGACAAGCCCGTTGTCATTCATAATAGATTGGCATCTGCAAGAAATGGAATAAAGAAAAATTCGGAGAATTAAGATCGCGTCTTATTTCGTAATTTCTCAAGTTGGGCAAACTTTGAATCGGTTCGTTACATTTTCTTTCCACAAAATGACGCCACAGCTCTCGAAATTGCCTTGTGGCTACTCAAAATTATTCACGTGATGCGAACCAGTTTTTTCGGAATAAGTATTCTGAGCGAAAAATGAGATAATTTAATCCACAAATACACAATCCAAGATGTCTTTTTACAATCCATTATGGTTCATTGAATATGAGTTCAAAGAAAGCAATGCAACCAGGAAAGTGATTCATCATTACACTCAACACCCCGACAATTATGGAATTTAAATTTTTTTTAAATTTTCTGAACTTCATGAATTAAATGTGGAAGTTTTAATTAAACACGATAAAGAAGTTTAAAACAGTTTTGTTTCTGCAACACTGGAATAAAATATTTTCAAAAAAAGTTAACTTGATTCTATTTTAATCGGTACTGTATTTGATTTTTTAATCCAATTTCTACTTTAAAAAATATTATAAATAACAATATATGAGAAGAGATCATTACACTCCCCACCTCAACAATTATGGAATTTAAAATTATTTAAGAGTTTCTAAACTTCACTCATTAAGGGTGGAAACTTCAATTAAATACGACAGTTTTACTTTTACAACACAGGAATAAAATATTTTCAAAAAATATTAACTTCATGCTTTTCTTTAACCGGTATTGTACATGGTTTTTAATTCCAATATTTACATTAAAAAATGTTATAAGAAAACAATCTGCTTTAAGTATTTTTTTCACCATAATCAAAATATACATTTAAAAAAAATCAATTAGTTTCAAGATAGGTGCTTTTAATTCAATAAAGCGAAGAAAAGGTCGATTAAAGGACGCAAACTTTTGAGAAGACTGCGAAGTGATGAAAACTGTCAAGTGAACTTAAACAATACTTCTCGAGGGTTATTATTCACTGAAGGGATTAATTAAAATTGTGGTTAATGAGTTTTCTTCTCGTAATAGATTTGAAGAGTTTTTAACATTTTACTAAGGTTAGAATACCTTAAATAAATATTTTCCTTAACCTTTCATTAGACTTGCGCGCTATTTTAAAAACTAGTTGCTAAGTTAAGAATTAAAAACACTCACAATTATTACAAAAATTAATAATTTGAATAAACATGTCTTGATGCGAAAAATTCCAGAGTGCTACGTGGATACTAAAATGCAATTGAAAATTAATTCTTTTTCACAACTGTATGAAAATTATATACCATTTTTTTTTTATATAGGAGAGTATTCCCAGGAGGGTTTATGTTTGAAAATACTTGAAATCAAAACTATTTGTATTTAATTTTGCATTCTTAAGAAAAGTCATTTCTAAGTGGCTTTTGTTTTAAAATAAATAAAGGCAGTTGTAGTTTTATTTACGTAGAGCTAGAGTTGCACAATGGGCTCTTTGCGAGGGTCTGGGAAACAGCCCATGGATGATCCGGCCATCACAATTTGGAACCTCTGCGGAAAGGATGGCATCCCCTCCTCGGTAGCCGGACGATCGGCGTGTTGAGTCAAGCCCTTTACGGTAGAATAGTTTATCGGTCACGCCCACCCTTGGTCCCTTCGCAAACTTATCAAAGTGATCTCCTAACAGCATACTGACCACAGCCAGTATTGCTTTACTTTGGTGTTCTACTGGAAAACGTGGGGTCTAAGCGATCAGTCCACTGCGGGACAAAACAAACAAAGGATTGATTGATTGAATGAAAGTTTAATGGCACAAGATCCAAATGAGGACATACTGTGTCAAACAATATGTGTATACATGTCAAAAAATAAAGTGCATACTTACCTACTTTTCATGAAATACATTAGACATTGATAAAATGATATAGAAACAATCAACGGTAATAATGCAATATAATCGTGTCAAAGTTAAAACACAGTAAAATTTTGTTAGACAGCTAAAATGTTAAAAATTTAATAAAATCATTAATAGGATAAAACTTATATACAATTTAAAATGGCAATAACACGAAAAAATGCAAAAATGTTAGGACGATGGAAACAAATGGTGGAAGACTATTTTTAAAAAAATCAGTATTGATTTTCGCGTATGAATTTATAAATAAAATGAAATATGGTATAATGTCTATAAGAATAAATCATATCTATTAAAGTTTTAAATTAAATTATAACATATTCAGTGTAGTTTCCTCTAGAACGGAATCGTTAAAAACCATCAAATATAATTTCATATTTTAACTATAAAATCTTGTGATAGTTTTTCCTCTTTAATACTTTTTTTCGTTACTTTTTTTTCCTCTTTAATTTTCGTCTTATTGGTCATGAGCCAGCTCTGACTCTTATTTATATTCTCTTTACCCCTTGCAATTTACATAATTTTACTAATGTTGTATATATTTTTTAAAATCAAAATAGCATTAGTTTGACGATAAGTATGAGGGTTGTATATTAACTAATTAAATTACATTTTTGAATAATTTACACAAAAACTAATAACGTCGAACATATTTATAATATCTTTAATCTGTTCAACTCATTAGCATAATTAAAGTAGAATATTATTCATTTTGTCTTCAAAACTAATAAAGTCCTCATCAACTCACCTTCTTACTGGAGCATTACAAAGAAAAGGAGAATAAAAACGTGAAGAAAAGAAAAGAAAAAAGTACCTAGTTATGAGACATTTGATGGATATCAATCATCTTAACCTGTCACTTTCTTACTAATATCTTTTTAGAAGAATCTCGTAGCTTTAATTGGAAGAATCTTTTTTTTTCGTGAATCCAACATTTGGCATAATTACTTATTTAATTCACTTAAAAGATATTTCATTTAAATCGATCAGTAACACGCTTTTACATTTAAATTTCAAGACACCTTACCCATTTACAGTTACATGTTTATTTTTAACTTTTTCTGTCAACCATTTTTCGCCCACTATTTTCTTTCAAACTTAAAATTCAATGCACCGAAATCGAACCACAGACAAAACATGTATGGCCATTTAACTTCATTCTAACAAGCCACAATTCAGAATGGCCGACCAGTCTGTGTAGGGGGCAGGGAACTGTCCTTGCATCAGAAAGGTTCTGGGTTCGAATCCCGGGCAAGGCATGGATGTTTCTTTCTCTCTATCTGTGTTCTATGTCCTTTCTCCTTTGTGTGTGAATGTGACCCGCCCTATAAACGGGTTGTGGTAGTGTGACGTGGGCGACGCTGTTCCACCGCCGTGGCTTTGCCTCAGGTGCCCACTGGGTAACGAAAAGAGAATTAGCAGTTCTGGCACTTTCTGTGGCCAATGGACAATAGCTCCAAGTGCCCGCCATTAAAAAAAAAAAAAAAACAATTCAAAATGAATGGCAACCTCGAAAATTTCGTTCTGTAAAAAAAAAAATAGATTCTTTTTAAGCTTCTTGCAATTCCAACATTTTGATACGTTGCCTTCTTCAAATTGAAATAAAAGAAAGCGATTTTGTTAATTTTTAAGAGTTTAATAAAGCTAGAACTTTTCTTCTGAAAAATTAATGCCTACTTTTTTTCATAAAAAGCTTTTATGTTTTTATAAGGGATACCTAAAAACTCCCCTACTCTTCTTTGTACTCTTCCTCCATTTTTGACGGAAATGAGGGGTGATTTGAAAAGGGTGAACAGCATTTTCTCTAGACCATCAAGTGAGGGGCTTTGTTAGTGTTTGCCGCAGTGGACAAACGAAATGCAGATTCGTCGACAGGCAAAACATTAATACAACGCAAAATATATATAAAAGTACACCGAGTTGAGTTTAGGTTTCACTTTTAAAGTTAATACTTTTTATAGAACATTTTTTACGCGTTTGTTTTTACCATACGTTTCTCAACAATAACGTTACTTGATACTCATGCATTTTATAAGTTTTCAAAGACATTAATAATTATTTTCATAACAGTTATCAAAGCATTTATTTTCCACATTGAATCGAATGAGACCAATCCCGATAACTAATAGTTTGGAAGTTTTAAGCATTTTACGTAAAAAAAAGTAAAAGTTTGTGTTTGTATTTTTTTTTACGCATTTGGTATTGATTTTAAGACAAGTGATGCATTATTCAACGTGTACTTTTTCACTTTGAATTAACAGAGACTATTAACAAGTCAATAGAACAAATAATTCTAAAATTGCAAGTGATTTTTTTTGTTTAAAAAGTAATATTTTTGATATGCGTGCAATTTTTACTTCGCTATTTAGTGGCTATCTGAACATGTAAGATGCATTTTTCGTTATAATTTTGCATGCTGATTTGGATAAGATAAAATTCGAATCAAATATTTCACATCGTAAGGGTTCTGCGTACAAAAGGTTCAATTTTGTACTATCATTTATTTACCCATCCTACATTACTAGACAGGCAAATGAGGTATTGTTTCCTCTGTATTTTTCTCTCTTTATCGTATAAGATAAACCACAAATTGAAAAGGAAAATAAATCAAAAGTGGAAATGGTTTTATCATTTTATATAAAATAATACTATTTCTGAATTGCACATAACCCTTATACCTTCGAAACT